ATTACTAATGAAATTTATTTTAATAAAAAATAAAATATATTTCGTTGGTGATTTTTCAAATTAAAAAAATAGAAAATAATTTGATTAAATTATTAACAAATTAATGATAAAATTTAACTAAATATATAATTAAAATGATAACACCAACAAGATTCAAGCACGGTCTTTCATACTTATTAAATGTTACAGTGTTAGAGCGTCTGACGGTGGTCAAGTTAGCAATCAATTAGATATAAGTAATCAATGCATATATACCAATGAACAGTAACGGCGAATTTTAATTAATTATGTATTTAGTTATTCAAATTATTTTCTATTTTTTTAATATGAAAAATCATCAACATAATATATTTTATTTTTAATTAAATAAAATTTCATACGAAATATATTTTAATATTAATCAATAATATTTTTAATATTTTTTATTTTCAATAAAAATAACTTTTATCAATAATATTTTTAAATGTAAATATCTTTTTATATTTTAAGTACATTTTTGATATATTTGTTTCATTTTATAAATATAAGTATTTTTTTTGTTCAAAAAATGTTTAGAGACTTGATCGTTGAAAATGTGAAAGTTCATTGGTTTTTTTTTTAGATTTTTTTTATTATTTTACCATATTAACTAGTTTTATAGGTCATAATAGATATTGCCAAAAACCGGTCCCGGGCCGGTCCCAATCGGTCCTCATCTTTCTCATAACCGGCCATAACCGGTCCCGGTCTCGGTTCCGGTCCCAACCGAAAATGATAGGACCGGTCAAGGTACTTCATAACCGGTTATGGCCGTCGGTCCCGGTCCTGGTCCCGACCGGTCCTTGCATTAAAAAAATAAGATTTTTTTGATTTTTTTAATGATATATATTTTTAATACATTATAAAATTTACAATTGGGTCACTCAAATACACTTTAAAAATGCATTTTAATATAATTAAAATTACGTTTTCTTATAAAAATACATTATAAAATTATTTAAAAATACATTTATTTATAAAATTATTTGAATTTTCGGGCCGGGCCGGGCCGGTCCATAGTCGGTCCCATAACCGGTCCCGGTCGGTCCCAATCCCACGAAACTACCAAAAACCTCAACCGGTCCCGGTTTTCGGTCCCATAACCGGTCCTTACCAGTCCCGGTCCTCCGACGGTCCCGGGCCGGGCCGGGCCAATTTGGCCATCTCTAGGTCATAATGATGTATCTAACAGGTTTTAGAAAGTCCAAGAAGTTATTTAACATGTTTTGAAATGTTCAATGACTTATTTGTTCCAAAAAATTGTCCATTGACTTAATCATTTCAATCATTAAAGTCCATTGAGTTTTTTTAAACTTTTCCCTTTTTTCATTGTAAGCTCATCTATATTTAAAGGACTTGTAATTGATGAGAATTACAGATTGATTCTCTTTATTTTACTGTTGTTTTATTTCGTTTTTTCTTATGACACTTCGTTCGTGCTTCCCCCGGAAGCAGTCTCTTTTATTAGCACTTACGCTCCCTAGAACAAAGTGATCAAGAACTCAAGCTAAGATTCGATATTTGAGGCAACTTTTATATGTTTTAGGTTTAAACATCACCATATTATGCTTTATGATATGAACAAATATGATGATTTCGTAAGAACACAATTTTCTTTTAGGGTTGGTGAGAAGCATAAGAAATGATATCAACCATTGGATAAATCCTAATTGAATGTAAAAACTAATGAGGTGTATCAAGATCAATTATCTTCTAAAGCGCGTTTTATAGGTGAGCATGAGATTAAAAATGATCAAATGTTCAGATCTCTTATTACGTTTTTCACCATTGATTTCCCGTCTCATACAATCCCTCACATTTCTTTTATATGTTTAAATCATAAACATCAGTCTAGTGTGCTTTACGTTATAGATACATTTGGCACTCTTATGAAATCCTAATTCATATATTATTATTTATTAGAAGGATATTTGTGCAATGCATCGAGACACATTTTCATTTCAATGTTTCGTTTTTATTTTTGTATCCATGTCGATATAAATACTATTTTATGTGGTTTTGAGAAAGACATAATGTTTTTATTTTTGAATAAAATAAAATTTTGAAAATATCATATAAAATTTACAAAAAAATATATCAATATTAATATCAAATTAACTATTTAAAAGTTTTTGTTTGTATACTTTTTTAATTCAAATTTTTTATTATAATTTAATTTA